GTTAAGATCTGGCTGTTTCTCTTTGCTTTATTCTCAATTTACTGTAAAACAGCAAATTTGAATCTTCGAAAATAAAACACTTCGATTAGTTTTAGGATATCTTGAAAGTACTCTTAATCGAAATTGAAACTCCAAGTGAAACCTGTTCTCAGAATTTATTTTTGTTGGATTATAGATCATTTAATACAGATATAAAGATGTTATCATCGCCCTGATGATGGATGACTTCTGAAACATTAGTAAACTTCTACTAGACTACACCGCGCTACAAGCCAGAAGACAGCCATCTTCAGACATACCACCGCGAAAAGCTTAAATCCTACTTCTTACACTGATACGAAATTATAATCCTTCTGAAAGCATAAGCTAATAAGCAAGATGGGAATAAAACCAGTACTTTACCATCACTCGTGTTACTTCTGATGGCATTAAAACACTTTCTCGACTAGAATGCCATTTTACATTTTTTTTTATTTTTACTGACTCGTTGGCAAACCAAACATAGACGTAACCACAGCAATGACTGGCAACTGTTGCGTCTACAATAACTAAACCAGATGTTTGCTAGTAATTAAAAATATATCCTGAATTATAATCCTCCTTAGATCGTAAACGAATAAGAAAATACCTTACCTTTACATGTGCAACACCTAGCATTTTCCGATTTCATTTTTGACGTGTGATATCCTTCTTAACACGTAATATTTTGTTCACTTTTTAAAAGTTTGTAAATTTAACAAGAACAAACCATTCCACTCAGTAAACAGGCGTAACCAAGCAACGGACAGGGGATTAAATGTTGATGTTACTACAGTTCAGTCAGGTGATTGTTAGTAAGTCAAACAATGACACGAAATTACAGTCGTTCTTCAACAACAAAGATAAAAAAACAAACAGTTGACAGCAGTCCATAAAATCAAATTCTGATAAACAATTGTTATGTTATGATGTGCGTTGTTAAGCACCGTCACACAATTTCTAACCTTCATTGACTCCAGACGTATGATCCATTAATAATTGGGCATTCAATGTTACCTGGAGCCAGTTAACCTTTTGATATACGTAACCGTTGATACAACGCTCCCGAATACCAGCAACGCTGGTACAGTCCGCAGACCAGGAGAATATCCCTGCTAGGAAT